TGTGTGTGTGTGTGTGTGTGTGTGTGTGTGTGTGTGTGTGTGTGTGTGTGTGTGTGTGTGTGTGCGTCTCTGTCTTTCAGTCTCTGTTTCTGTGTGCTTAGACATTCCTCCTGTTTGTAGTTATTGTTTTGTGCTGTGTTCCTTTGCTACTCTCAAGTGCTTAGGTATTCCTCCTGCTTGTTGTTATTGTTTTGTGCTGGTATTCCTTATAGCTATTCCAAACAAAATCACGAAATGGGCAGAAAGTTGTACTAATTATACAACTTCACGTGATTCAAGTTGCTGTGGCTCAGCTAAACTGATGCACATATGGAAATCACAGGACACAGAGAAGCCTGCCTGATGCGCGTACACAAATCACAGGCAACTGATTTTTCACAGTCATGGTTATCTGAATTGTCTCCCAGATCTCTCTCCAGCGTGGTATGGGTTTGGTAAAACATTTGAGTCAAGCTTACCTCCCACCCTTGAAAAATCTCATTCGAAATACTCTTTCATCATCATCGGCAGCAATAGCAGGCGATTCCACTTCCATAAACAATCTCGTAATGATGCCAGGATAATGTGCTAGGGCGACAACAGAGGACAAGAACCATCCGTCCTCAAGCAAGCCCTGTCTTACATCCTCTGCTTCAATCCGTCCCGAAAACAATGACACTCTTACATGCGCTGGAAGAAGCTGTTTAGCTGGGACCATCGTTGCTCCGTGCCACCCAACTGGCGGCGGATCAAACATAGGGTCAGCAACTACGCCATACCCAGAAGCTTTTATTCCCTGTGTAATGTCAAAAGCCTCCACACCTTGCCAGGGAGCTTGTTTTCTGAACCTCTTGAGAAATGCTTCAGGGATCTGTAACTCTTTCTCCAGGGAGGTTGGTATTAATTGACCTCTTTGCTCTTCTTCCTCCTCCTCCTGCTGCTTATATTTTGCACCTGGCATGTCATCCCATTGGTCCAGAAGAAATTTGGCACCCCTATATGATGATAACCCATCATCGACAGTTTCTGCTTGGCCAGCAAGGAATCTACTGCGATGCAAGAAGTCCATGAGATCTTCAATACCAATCCGACTTGCTGGTTCCTTTCTCGCTTCCTGGACTGGTTGTAACCAGGGCCTGTGTATCGGTTCTTCAGTACTCTTTCTGTCAAACAAAGATTCCCCATGTATGAAGTCCCGCATAGTGTCCAAAGGAGGCTCAGTCCCCGGTGCCATCAAGGGCTCCGCTGGAGTGTCCCAGAAGGGGATCTGTGTGATTTCTTTCACCATTTGTACCAGCTCCGGTAACTGACGATCAGCGAGAACAGGATTCTCAACACTGAGTTTAGGAAGAAGATCTGCATCTCGAGTGGCCTCGACTGTTGTCTCGGTATCAGGTGGCATCTCGCTCGGCCCACATTGTGTTTCTTTTGGAGAAATGCCCACCTCTGGAAGCATGGGAAGAGCAGGCTTCGCTATAGGTTCACCAAACGGCACTTCTGACGGCGGTCTTGGTCGCCTTGCGTCGAAGAACACAGTCAACTGCCCAACAGGTTCTTTTGAGATCAGCGTCTGAGGGATGATCGGCTGTTTGGCAAGCGTAGTATCAGGGGGAGCCATCTTGATCAATCCCGCTGTCACCGCCATATCAGAATGTACCGTCAGTACGAATCGCCGTGGCAAGCTGCTACCTGTTGGGTCAGGAAATCTTGTCACCCTGCCACTCTTTGTTGTGTACGTAAATGCTCTGACAATTATCCGATAAGGTCCAGGAGCAAGCGTCACTTCCACCTGGCATGTTGTTTCTCTCGTTTGTTTCGTCCCAAAACAATTGTTCTGGAGATCAACGATCCAAACACCAACCTTGAAAGGTTCCTCCGCACCAATCCTGCTCACAGACAAAGAAAGAGGGGGGGGGGGAGATAGTGGAAATCAGCCTCAGGCCCTCGCCACCATTCCTGCTCACAGACAAAGGGAGGGGAAGGGGAATGGGAACTGGAGGTACACTCAACTATAGTCAGGCCGCAGAAGCACTCGAGCATTGCCGGAGCACACTCAAAGGCAGTACTTCCAGCCAACAGCAGTCAAGTTTCATTTGCTGGCCGAATTGTTGGCTAGCAGGCCCAAGAGGTGCTGAAGACGATAGCAGGCAGGCCAGCAAAACCTGGCTGCTTGTCCAATAGCTGGTTACAGTAAGCTCCAATTGGGGGCTGTTGTTGTGCTAAAATGAGACCATCCAGTTTCACAGACACATTCATGTTAGTTAACTCCAGACATGGAACCAGTTTCCATACCTTCATTAGCCAGATAGTTACTGTCTTCACCCGAATAGAACGCCCCGTCATTATCGCTGCATCTGGACCGAAAGTTGTGCCAAATGCAGCTATAATGACTGAGCGTTCTATTCGGGCGAAGACGGTAGCTAATGGAAGCTGTGTGTTCTGTCTACACAGCAAGGTGGTTAGGTTAGCTGCAGAAGTGCATTGAGAGAGACAGTGAGCATGAGGCCCCATTGACACAGCCTCAAAGCTCAAACACAAACAAATATAGTCATGAAATTGGCCAGGTTCATGCTGGCTTAGTGCAAACATCGCACAAGCAGCACCTGCCCATGCAAAGCAGTTCCTACTTGAAGCCACATAGCTCCTCATCCTCAAACTTGTGTGTCCTCCTTGCAAAGGGACTGTACTTATCTTCTCCGTAGTATACTAGTATGATAATATCCCAATTATAGCACGTCTCCTGCAGAACAAAGTTTTGCTGATTTCCGCCAACTTTAGTGCATTGTTTCACAAAGACAGCTGTCTACATTCTTTGCTGCCGTCACAATGACAGTTATCTTTTTGTCGTGTTACCTCTATATTCAGTGGCATCATGGATCAGTTTACTTCATGATTTATCTGATTTATCATATGATAACTTTCCTTGCTGCCAACTTGTGCCAAGGGCCATATGGAAGGAAAGATGCTGTATCACTCTCGACAGGAGGAGGAATCCAAAGGAGAAAGTATCAGTGTCGACCAAGGAGTTCATTGGACCCGAAATCAGATGCAAATGGCGGCAAACAAAGACACCTCATTCAAGACACAGGGAAGACGAGGAGCGGAGTATCAAGACAAATGCCAACACAAATGGCTGGCGAATGGCAGAGAGGCAACAATCATCGGGCTTTAACTCAAGTGGAACCCAGAATCAAGAAGACCATAACATAATCTTGGACCGGCTAACGAGTAGCTAAAATTTTGATGCGGAAAGGGCTCCCATGCAGCGACGGAAATCACGGCTCGGGAGTAACCTTCAAAGGTTCTTGGAGGTCACGTCAATCTGACAGCCTGAGCTTCATAGGACTCAGAGAAATCCTCGCTGTTGGTCAAATGGAATGGTTATGATATAATGGATCCCTGGTTTGGCCTTCACGTTGCCATGAAGGTTGGACTATATCATCATCCTCTAAGGTATCTGGTGCACCCCTAATAGAATGGAGTCTCCTTCCTTCCTTTTCTTATTTTTCTCCTCTTTCCCCAGTTGAATTGGAACTCACGATTCCACAAATAAAGAATAAAGCAGGAAAGAACAGATTGCATCTGACCTATGTCATGGGGAAGGCATACGTACATCAGAGGATCCTCTTGATGAAGAGCCACGAACATGTGGGTCCTCACCGATACCTTCAGACGAAACATCCTTGTAGGCTGTGTGGCATTGCCAGCGGCGGACCAATCATCTGCAATAAATGTGCACGGAATCTGAAGCTCCTTCCATGGTGTTGGCCTCTGGTAGCGTATGCAGCAAACAACTAAACCTTCGAATTTCTAATGGCAAAAGACAAACATGTACAAAGCAGAAAAGAAGTACCAAAACACAGATGATAAGAAAAGGAACGGTGCCCGGAAGAGGGGTCAGCAACAAGGCAAACCAGATACTGAATGAAGGACAAGGACAAGCAACAGATTACTGAGCGGACCCCCCCACTGTTCTCGTATTGCAGGGACTCATCCGACAGACTCTGAAAGGAGCCTGAGAGGAACCAGTGATCAGGGCAAGCTGACAGTCAATCCTCCTTAGAAGGAGTAATCAATGCTGGTCAGGGTTCCTTCGGCCAGACGGAAGGAAGCCTTGTGTGAGTAAAACGATGTATTCTTTTGACTTGCTGGGGGAATAGGAACCGGACTGACGCTCCCCAGAATGGATATGGAGTCAGGACCAAAAGGACCTGTTTTAATTTAAAAAAAAAAAGAAACAAAAAAGAAAAGGAACGGTGCCAACAGGAAGAGGCCTGAACCGAACTTCCACACACGGGAGGAGAGTCATGGGGCTCTAGTCATTGCCCACATGACAAGCAGCCCTGACAAGGGTCAAATTTAAGTCGCAAGATAGAAGTTGCGATTGCATCTCATGATAACATCTTGGATTTTTTCCCGCATTTGCTTCCAGCGCCTGCAGAATGGAAGCGTCTGTTTTTGCCCATGCTGCTCCTCTTGCGGCAATGTTGCCATCTATTGTCCTAGCATGCCTTCAATTTTTCTTCTTGTTCTTCTCTCTCTCTCTCTCTCTCTCTCTCTCTCTCTCTCTCTCTCTCTCTCTC